TATTAAGGATTAGATAAAAGCTGCTTAAGACATCTCAATGAGCCTGAAGTGAGACAGACTGTCCCATCTTAGGTGTAACCCTACCCTGAAATGTTACGTGATAATGGTAAGATTTTTTTAAAATCATATACGCATGTGTGTTCATATATACAAAAATATATAGGAAAATTGTTTTCATTTTTAAGAAGCAAAGCAACGCTTTGATTTTTAAAAGATGTGTCCTCTTTAAAGAATGTTTCTTTGAGTAACGTTTATTTTTCTTCAACAGGCATGGCTTTGGGAAGAGGATAAGTTTTTGAAGAATGGTGTAAAGAAATATGGAGAGGGAAACTGGGCAAAAATACTGTCGCATTATAAGTTCAACAACCGAACAAGTGTCATGTTAAAAGACAGGTGGAGAACAATGAAGAAACTGAGGCTGGTTCACTGAGGCAATGAAGGCTGCATGGGTTTGTTTTGGCTTAATACAAGGACAATTAAATACTTGGATCACTACATTTTGTTTAAAACTGTCTGGTCAGTGATGGATGTATCTTAAGGTTTTGTTGTTGTTGAAAGCATTATTTTTTGTGATAGTTTTATACAGATTTGTACTGTAAAAATAAAATTATATGCTATAATTGTTTTTTTCAAGACTTTATTTTTGTAAAATATAGTTTTGTTGAACCCTACCAAATTCAATTCCCCATCCCACATCCTGTTGTAATGCAAAAATAAAGCCTGATATATATAAAGTATTTATTTGTAGTTGCTTCTGTTTGTTCTACTAACCTTACAAATGCCACACAGAAATGGATTTTCTAAAGAATGGAACTGGAATACTCCTTTGTGGTTGTTGTTGTTGTTGTTGTTGTTGTCATCGTTGTTGCTTGATTTATGACTAATATGCTACTTACTGATTATGTTATTAGGGTGATAAATGTGCAGAACAATCCGTAAGTTCTGATAAACTACCTATCTCAGTAGTTTCATCTAAAGGACGTTTTCACCAACAATTTATTTTTTAGAATATTTAATCAAAGACTAATAATTAGCACGTTGAGTTTTATGTGCTGTATTTAAGTGAATAAAAATCCCAACCTATTGAAATATTTATAATAAAAATGGGATATTGTGTAATGTCTCTAACTTTCTATCAAAGTGTCATGCGTTTTTTCCTTTTTTTCTTGAATTTATGTTATCCTATTTGCCCAATAAACAGAAACATTAATAATTGCCATGTGCTTCCTGACCCAGTAGCTACCGCACATGTATACCAAGTAATTGTTTTACCCTGTATGATGCCAGTTAGTTCCAAAGCTGGCATCTTGAGGCAAAATAAACATATAAGTCGATGTCACTTTAAACATACTTAATAAATCTTCAACTCTAAATTGCTATTATAAAGTATCTACTATTTTACCCATTGCTTTAAAATCACAATTAATATGATACATTATTAAAACTTACTTATCAAAAGCTATTTTATTTTTTAATTTTTAACATTTATTTAGTGAGTACATAAGTCTGCATGCCATGGCATGCATGAGGAAGTCTGATAAGAACTCAGGAGTGTGCTAGTTAGTGTGCTGTCCCCTTGACTTGGGGAGAGGAACCTTGATGAGAAAATACCTTCACTAGAATGCCTGTAAGGTGTTTTCTTCACTAATAATTGGTATAGGAAGGTACGCTCACAGGTGGCAGCTCCACTCCAGGGCAAGTGGTCCTGGGTTGTAGGAGGAAAAGCAATACTGAGCAAACCATGCCAAGCAAGCCACTGAGCATCTCTCCTCCATGACTTCATGAGCTCTTTCGTCCTTATCCTGCCTTGTGTTCCTGCCCTGGCTTTCGCTCGGTGGTAGACTGAACCTCGACGTGTGAGATGAAATAAGCTATTTGCTCTCCAAGTTGCCTTTGATCGTGGTGTTTCTCACAGCAATGGAGCCTAAATACATTCTCCCCTACCACATGAGCTCCAGGGTGTGAGGCTTTGTGGCAAGTTCTTCCACCTGCTTAGCCGTCTCATCAGCTCCAGAAGCCATTTTAAATTTATTTAAGCAGCTTTTTTTTTTCATATGACTTGTAGTTCTATGAACAGAGATCTACCCAGGCTGGAGAGATGGTGCCGCGAATAAGAGCACTGGCTGCTCTTCCAGAGGACATGACTTTGATTTCCAGCACCAACTTGACAGCTCATAATTGTCTGTAACTCCAGTTCCAGGGGGTCCAGTGCCCACTTTTGGGCCCCATGGATACTGCATGCATGTTGAGCAAGACATATATATATATATATATAGGCAAAACATCCATATATGTAAAATAGTTTTTTAAAGAATAATTGATCAGTATATCCCTAAAACATTGTCTCCTAGTCTCAATTCTTTGAGTACTTTTTTAAAAAACTTTATTATTGAGGTATAGGTTCATATGCAATTATAAGAATCATAAAAAGCATTTGCCTAGTTTCCCCCACACTTACACCATCTATACTCCAACCCCTCCTCCAGCCCCCACACTTACACCATCTATACCCCAGCTCCTACCCCAGCCCCTAAACTTACACCATCTACACCCCAGCTCCTACCCCAGCCCCCACACTTACATCATCTATACCCCAGCCCCTATACTTACACCATCTATACCCACCCCTACCCCAGTCCCCACACTTAGACCATCTATACCCCAGCTCCTACCCTAGCCCCCACACTTACACCATCTATACCCACCCCTACCCCAGCCCTTACACTTAGCTTCCTCCACTCCTCACCTACCTGTGTCTCCACTGTACATAATTTGTCATCTTTTTTCATTGTTTTATATAATTATATAATATTTATGTCATTTTAGTTCTGTGGCTGTTGTTTACACATGAGCTTTATAGTTTCTACGTGTCTGTAATTTCCACATCTCTGGTTCCTCTAACCAAACTGAAAACTCCAATCCTGTCACCATGTGTTGGGCATTCTGTCATTGCCTTCTTGTCCTGCATCCGGGTAATCTGGCTCTACTGGCTGTGGTTCACCTGGTCTGGTCTGGCCTTTTCCCCCAGATCTCATTTGTTTTTCCGGAACATGTTCCCTGTCCTCTGGGTAGTCTTTCCTGGTTTACACTCCACTCCCCATTAGGCTGAGCACCCCTCTGATGCCCTCCCAGGAAAGGGGAATAGAACAGAAACTTCCGTGCTTTGCCTGTCTAAAAACACCGTTGTTTTATCCTTGAGTGTGGTGAATAATTTTTATTGTTTTTAATTACTGGTCCTGTACATATGAACCAGATATTTTCATCAAGAACATTTTGGGCCGGGCAGTGGTGGCGCACGCCTTTAATCCCAGCACTCGGGAGGCAGAAGCAGGCGGATCTATGTGAGTTCGAGGCCAGCCTGGTCTACAAGAGGTCGTTCCAGGACAGGCTCTAAAACTACAGAGAAACTCTGTCTCGAAAAATCAAAAAAAAAAAACAAAAAACCATTTTGGATTCTTTAGTGTTTGGATATCTTAGACATTCGTTCTGTGTCTGGTGTGATGCTCCTTAGAGAAATCCAATGAGCCAGGCCTCGGTGGACCTTAAAGAATACTCAGTCTCTGATGATGGATTTCTCTGATCCTATGACTGCCTTATGCTTGTATCTTCTCATTTCTGTCTCTTCAGAATCTAACTCTGTGCAGAAGTGGGGCCATCTAATAGGGAAGTGCTCCCAAAGTCTGGCCCAAGGCTGAGTCTTGCTGTCATGCTTACTCAGTGACACCTGCTACAGACAGGTGGCTTCAAATGTATTTTCTCTCAGAGCTTAGAGGTTTTGTTCTGCCAGATTTACAATACCCACTGATGCTGAAGAGAGTCTGCCTCCTCAAGGATCTTTGCTCCTCTCTAGACGACCTAATTTTCTCTCAGCAAGCAGGACCTTCAAGAAGTCACCCTGAACTGAGAGAGATCTCATGCCTTTCAGAAGAAAGGTTCCCACCGCTGATTCCATGTTCTCTAAATGATATAAAAATAAGTTCCCGCCACTTCATCTGACTCTTGTTTACCAGTCGGTAAAATTTTCTTTCAGTCTTCAAAGTGTGTCCCAGTTTGCTAGGGCACTTTTTTTTTTTAGCGTGCACAATGTCCTAGGTTCAGTCTTCAGCACCAAAACCTAGAGTGAGGATGCATGTCTATAATGCTAGCACCTGTCAGGTGGAGGGCAGAGAATCGAAGTTCAAGGCTGTCCTCAACCAAATAGTGGGTTCCAGACCAATTTGAGTTACATGAGACCTTGTGTAGGGATGACAGGGTGGGGATGCATTCAGAGTTTCTGAGTTGAGACTGCCTCCCCTCTGTTCACCTATGTTATCTGCAGAATTTATTTGGGAAGGAAGAGAAGTGAGCTGTATTTCTCACCCAGAACTAAAAGTTGTGTGTCTCTGTCATTACATTTAACTGATTGCTTATGCTCTGAGCACCCAACCAAACATCATGGAGCTACAAACTGTTATGAGCCATCCTCCATGGGTGCTGGGAACAAACTCCAGTTCTCTACAGGAGTAATGAGTATCCTCTTACCTGAGCCATCTCTCCAGCCCCCAAACTCAAGTTGTTTTATTTTATTTTATTCTTATTTTGTTTAATTTTCCATGAAAACAGCCTTGGCAGTTAAACGAAAATACAGTTGCAAATGCTACTGGAGATGTTTGCCACCCCTTTCGGCTTGCTGCTGGCCTTCGGTTGTCACATGATCAGTGCCAAAAATACGCATTCTAGTTGACCATGTTAGTGAATACAATTCAGTTCAGACCAAATGAATTATACCTTTTAAATATTGCTTCAATTCTTCAAAGAAAATATCCCCAATTTAAAACCTCAAAATATCCCTAATTTAAAAATTCAAAACGAAACGCGACTGAGGTCCTAGGCTGGAGTCTGGGGCATGCTCAGGATCTCTTCTGAGTAGAACCTGGGATGAGAACCTGGACCAGCGTCGGCAGATGATTGCAAAATAGCTTGCTATCCTAGATCTGAAAGCACACATTTGGCTACACCCATAAGGTAAAGCTAGTAATATTTTATTGCCTGTGTATGAGATCATAACACTTACAGGATGATCCATGCCTCCTATCATATGCACCTCTGGATCTCACCCCAAACATGTGCTGTACAAAGAAAAGTAGTAAGTACAACTCAACTAAACGTGAAGTCGGACGTTAAAAGATTGTCTTATTCTGCTCCGGGTACTAAATTTTGGAAACACAATCTTAGATATGCATGATGACAGAATGCTTAGAAATAAAGCTTTTGACTCCTCCATTGGTGCCAAAATTTCAGGAAAACTGTAACGTTTTGAGCAATTCCTATCCATCTACCATGGATGTTTGCTCTTTTCAACTAACCAAGGAAATTTTTTTTTCTTTAAAAATGTTTTCATCATGGGCACTAGCTTTTTATTACAAAACACCAATTGAAATTTTAACACCTTTCTCTGTGGAAGATTATTTGTGACAATTGACTTGAAATTAGTTGACAACCGGTAAGGTATTACATGGGAACACTATGTGCAAGAGTCACATATAGATGTATTTTTTTAAGCGAGAAGGTCTTAAGAATAGGTGGCGCAAGTCTTCTATCCCAGTACCCAGGAGGCAGAGGCAGGTGGATCACTGAGACTGATGCCACACTGCTCTGCAGAATGTGTTCAAGGACAGCCGGGGATGCACAGAAACACTACCCCCCACCGCAGAAAAAGAATGAAGGCGAAGAATGGCTGGGCGGGCTGGCACACGCCTGTAGTCCCTGCACTTAGGAGGGAGGCAGAGGCAGTTGAATATCTAGGAATTAGTGGCCAGCCTGATCTACATCATGAGTTCCAGGCTACATAGTGAGAGTCTGTCTTTAATTTAAAAAAAAAAATAAAACAAAAAAACCAATAATGACAAAGTACATAGATGCCCTTAAACAGCAGCTTATCCAAGCTAGAGCCCATGGTAGCAATTCTAGCACAAACAGACGTGCATTCTGTGGCCAAATGTAAGGTCAAGGCCATAGAATCTTTTAGTATGGCTCTTTAACTCAGTAAAAATATAAACAAAGAGACTGTGATCCTTGAGAACTACCCCTAAGTTTTCTTTCACAGAAGTGAAGTGTGGCAATGGAGAGTGTCCGGGGACTTGGCACAGTTTCTGAGGGCTTCTGAGGGCTGAGCTCAGGTTGGCAATACTCAGCCCATGGTAAGCAAGCGGCTCTGTGGTGGCTCCGAGGCGCTCTATATGAAAATGAAGCGGTGCACTTCCGGACAGGAGCACTGCTCTACCCGCCGCACTTTCTTCCAGGTCCCTTGGCATCGAGGATTGCCAATGGCTTGCCAGCGAAGAGTCTGGTTTCTGAAACGATATTGTAGAAGCATAGGTCATACTAAAAGCAAACCAAAGGAAATTCTAATCTACACAGTTGTAAATCTTTTAAAAGATCTATGTAGTTTTAATTTGTGTGCATGATTGTTTTGCCTACACACATGTGAGTGTGTTGTATGCATGCCTAGTGACCACAGGGGCCTGAAGAGAGTACTGGAGCTAGGTTGTTAGCCTCTATGTGGGTGCTGGGAACTGAACCCAGGTCCTCTACAAGAGCAACAAGTACTCTTAATGACTGAGCCATCTCTCCAGCCCTAATGTGTTGCGGTTTGTTGTTGATTTTACAGACTATGTGCTGGCTAGTGTCTGTCAATCTGTTACAAGCTAGAGCCATTCAGGAAGAGGGAACCTCAATTAAGAAAATGATTCCACCAGATTGGCCCCTGCGCAAGCCTGTGGTACATTTATTAAGTTGATGACTGTGTGAGAGGGGCCAGCTCACTGTGGGCAGTACCATCCCTGGGATGGTGGTCCAGAAAGCTGGTCCAGAAAGCTCTAAGAAAGGCTAGGAAACCCATGGGGAGCCAACAAGGAAGCAGCACTTCTCCCTGGCCTCTGCTCCAGCTCCTACCTCCAGTTCCCCCCCTGATGTCCCACAGTGATTGACTTAGATGTAAGGTTAAATAAACCCTTTACTTCCCAAATTGTTTTTGATCACAGTGTTTTACCAAAGCAAAAGAAGCCATTTCTAAGATAGATAGTTTCAAGTATATTACAAATCACATTTATAAATTATTTGTTCATTTTTATTTTATGTGTATGAGTGTTTTGCCCAAATGTATGCCTATGGGGGCCAGAAGAGGACATGGGATCCCCCTGGAACTGGGTTTATAGATGGAAGTGAGCTGTCATGTGTGCACTAGGAATCAAACCTGGGTCCTCTGGGAGAACATACAGTGCTCTTCACCACAGAGCCATCTCTAGACGCCACCCCCTTCCACAGTCATGAAGGTCTCTTTCTGTAATTCTGTCAGTGTGAGTCACCAGTTAGTCCCTACTCAAGGACACCCGTGTTCAGAGAGTCGTTCTGGGTGTCCTCGTACATGTCTTCGGGGTACTGAACGCAGGACAACGGTGGGCTGTGTAAGTTTAAGTTAGGAGGGTCTCACCAAATGACCACTTTCATTCTATCCCAATTCTTTGATTCCATAATGAGCAATGGAAGAAGTACAGAAAGCAAAGCCAGAGAATTAAAACTATTCTTCATTAAGTCACTTGTATAGGAACCAGGGTTTACGTCCTTTCTTTATTGGGTACAAATTGAATTATAAATTCATTTAAAGTCAACATAGAGATGAGGTATTCAGAAAAACATTAAATTCAAATATTAGGTCTCATTTGATATGAATTCCTCACCCACTTTATTGCTCATCTGGTGAGCCCAGTCGAGACCGCCAGGCACAAGTGACTAATAAACATGAGCCAAATTATTAAATATTAAAACACGATGGGAGTATGATTAACTGGAAAGGTCAATATTTTACTTTTAATCTATTTTTACCAGCTACACCTGACATGCTGAAAAACATTACGTGTGTGAATAAATTGGTCCTTGTCCACAGCGGTCCCTGTGTTTCCTTCTTCTAGCCGTAAATGGCATTTAGTGGGTCTAACTGAACGTGGGTGCAGTCCTGGGAGAGGCTTGTGGGGAGACGCAATGTCTGCAGCCACCGCTCTCAGAAACCTACCTCAGGCACAGCACATCTGAACCGTTACTAGTGTCTGAATCACTGGGCAGGGCCAGCACAGTACTGACCCCTTTGTTTGCCTGCCCCCTCTGTTTAAAAGGGACTTGTGAATTAAGGATGAATGTCAATTTTTTAAGATTTTGTTTTTAATTATGTATGTATGTACGTGGGTCTTTCAGGAACCCAAAAAGCTGAACTGCAGTTACCAGCAGTAGTGAGCCACCCAAACTGCGTGCGGAGAACTGAACTTGGAGCAAACGCAGCACCAACTCTTAACTGCTGAGCCATCTCCCCAGCCACAGCACCAGTGCTTCTAGGAGTTAAGAGAAGCTGGGGATGGCAGTCTATGCTTGTAATCCCAATGTTTTGGAGCCTGATTCCAGAGCATGGCCACCCTGATCTATGTTGTGAGTTCCAGGCTATCCTAGGCTAGAGTGTGACCCTATTTCAAACAGCAACAAACAGTGGAGGAAAAATCAAAAGACTAATACTTCATGATATATGAAAATCATACAAAACTTAAATTTTGGTGTTCACAAATAAAATTTTGTTAGAACCAAGCCAAGGTTTAACTCGCACCAGCGGCTGCCTTTTTGGCCAGTGTCAGTGAAGAGGAGTTATTCCGAACGATGTGTTGGCTGAAAAGCCAGGAATAACTGCTTTCTGACATTTTATTTAAAAAGTTTTAGGTCCAGACCTAAGAGATTACTAAACTCTGGTTCACTTGGTCCTAAGAAGTGGGGCCAAGAATGTGCATATTCTGTCTTCAATCCAAGCGATTCAGATTCAAGTAATCTCTAGTACCTATGATGCCGTCAGGTTTTTGGGGGATCTTCATTTGAAATGAGGCCCCCAAACTAAACGAGCCTATGTCTTTCTGGTCTAGAGAGTGTCTGAGTCCCTTAATGAGCACCGCGCTGCCACATCCTGCTCCTTTCTGTTGATGTGCCTCACACTGCTTAGCTCGTTAGGACGCAGAGGACAGAGACTCGGGGTGAGCAGCAGAAAGCCCATCGGTCAGCTGTCCTTCCTTACCCGTCAGAATCCAGGCCATCTCCGGAACAACGCAGGCTCACAGAATTCATAGCTGGAGGCTGACAGTCCACACACACTGTGTACCCCTCCCGGAGATACTGCATCCATCGGGTCAGTGGACGGTTGTCCAGGGCACAGTGCGGAGTCAGGGACTCTGTCTTGAACTCCATACAGTATCTGGAACAGAAGAAGTTAAGGGGTCGCTTAGCATAGTTAGAAGTGTCCTGACACTGTAGGAAATCTTAAGGGGCCGTGTCGATCACACATGGCAAAGACTGTTCATTCTTGGCTTTTTAGGCAAGGTTTCACTGGGTAGCCCAAGCTGACCTAGGAGCAATCCTCTTGCCTCAGTCTCCAAAGTGACGGCATTACAAATGTGCCACCGTGCCCAGCACACGTACATGTATGCATGCCTTCATGCTTACATACACACAGACATGAAATTGCAATAAGGGCTCACATACCTCACACTGGCCTCAAACTCAGCAGTGTAGCTGAGGCTGGCCTTGCACTCTTCAACCTCTGAGTCCCACCTCACCCCAAATGCGCGGACTGCAAGTGTGCACCACCATGCTCAGCTAAATGTTGGAATTTTTTTTATCAACTACTAAGAGTTTTATTTTAAAAATGTACGCATCACTAAACACACAGAGAAGCAATCAATTACAAATAAGTGTGGATGTCACTCTGACCGCGCATTAGTACCAGAGGAAAAGGCGAGCTGGACTCTTAGGAAGCAGCGGCACTGGATTTCTGTGTACATGCATGAGGAAAAATAGTAACGCTTTTAGAAGGCAATGTGGGATAATACATGTTATGGATTGAAATTACAAAAATCTTCTAAAATAAGATTATAAAATCACTAGCTAGAAAAATGGTTTATAATTAAACGATATTAAATTTAGAAATTTGTGCTTATCAAAAGCTATTACCGGGAGAACTAAAGGAAAACCAGAAAGAAAGACATTTGCAGCAAGCATGACGAAAGCAGCTCACGCTTGCCGCTCGAGTCTCGGCTTTTCTCACCACCTCCAGCACTCGGAGAGGTAAAGCACTGACTCCCTGTGGCTTGGGATTGTATTTCCCTGACTGCTAGAAAGATCAGGTCCCCCCTTTTCACCCCTTTTATATCCCCTGCATTTTCTTCTGAATTTGTGAATGTGTGTGTGTGTGTGTGTGTGTGTGTGTTTTAAAAGATTTATTTATTTATTATGTATACAGCATTCTGTCTGGATGTTTTGCCTACAGGCCAGAAGAGGGAGCCAGATCTCATTATAGATGGTTCTGAGCCATCATGTGGTTGCTGGGAATTGAACTCAGAACCTCTGGAAGAGCAGCCTGTACTCTTAAACGCTGAGCCATCTCTCCAGCCCCAATGTGTGTGTGTGTTTAAGATATAGTCTAAATACAAGCATGCCTACAGTTCAGCTTTATCTTAACATTTCCTCAGTTAGATGTCCTACCAAGTATGTCACATGGTGACAAGCCAACCACCACCAACTCCCCCAACTGCTGCGGCTATTCACCTCCTTGGTGCTTCCATGAGTATTTTAGACTTTTCTAGTTTTGTGAAGAATGTCACTTAAGTGTTGATGGTAATTATACTGAATCATCCCTCACCTTTGGTAACACGGCCATTTTGACAATAGTTTTGCTGTCCCAAGTCCCGCTCAGCTGAATCTTTTAAAGAATAAAAATTCGAGTTTCAATAACCCATCGCTAGTAAACAGCCTGGAGACCTGAACATGTGGCTGTCAGGTCTCCTAGCAGCCCTCTCTGGTGGAAGAGTGGGTGTGGGTGAGCATGGAGGTGCCTTCCAGCTGTGCATGAGGTGTCCCCGAGATGCCCTCTGAATGAAAGTGTGCCAACTCTCAGATTCACAAAGCAGCTCATGAAGACTTTCAGAAGCTGCTGGGCATGGTAGTGTGCTCCTTTAATCCCTGACAGGTGAATCTCTGTTGAGTTCTAGGCTGGCCTGGTCTGCAAAGTGAGTTCCAGGACAGCTAGGGCTACACAGAAAAACCCTATCTTGAGAGGGAATGCGGGAGGGAGGGGGAGGAAGGGAGAGAGGGAGGAAGGAACAGAAGGAGGGAGGGAAAACATAGCAGTAATTTTAAAGTGAATTACCCAGCATCCTCAGTTTGTGTAGACCACTGTGGAGATGCGGCTTGTATTGTTCTCTTCTTGTTGAATGCAGAGCTGGTTATAAAGGCAGGAACTAGAAGAGGAAGAATTACACTGTATTCGTGCAGTCAAAGTACTCAGGTTTCCCAAACTAGATTCGATGCCTGTCTGAGATCTCTATTTCCAAGTCCAAAGATCTTAGTGGCACAGTATCAAGAGAGATTGCTACAGCATCTTCCAAAGCAAACTGAATCAGTATTGATATGCATCTGATAGCCACAGAGGGAACCAGAGACCTCTCCTGAGCACAGCGGCCTCCAGGCATGAAAGAGGGGAAGGCGGTGAAAAGAAGTTCAAGACTAGACGAGAGAAGGATCAAAGAAAGAAGAGGGAAAGGAGAGAAAACAAGCAGCGAAAATGAGAAAGAATAAAAGAAGCAAGCATGGGTGCCCCCAAGCCTCTTGGGAACCACAGCCTGGCAGCTTTGCCCCCACAAATCCCTACAACTGAATGTAGAGCTTGTGAAAATTGAGCAGGGGTGAAATGTGTCCAGATGCGCATTGGAAAGCAGCTCAAAGTCCACTGCACAGTGGGTGCGAGCTGTTTCTGACCATGCGCGCTGCATTGCACCACGTGGCTCTACCACAGCCTTGATTCTGAGTGGGCACTTTGCACGGTGTGTGCTTTCACACCGGGAAATGCTGCCTTAGCTTCGAGGCCATTGTATGGTAAGGTTTGCAGTGTTTTTAACATGAATGTAATGTGCTCGCTGCTGCACATGTGGAGTCCATGCTTAGCAATCACATTAAAAAAGAAAATCCAGAGTTGTCAGCAACTTGTCTAGGATACTAACACTGGGGAGAAAAAGACAGGAGGTCCTTGTGTTTGCTGGCCAGCCAGCCAATCCAGCTAACTCGGTAAGCTCCAAGATCAATGAGAGATCCTGTCTCAAAAAGTAGGATGGAAAGAGGCTGAGGGAGACACCCAACATCAACCTCTGGCCTCTCTGCACACAGGCACACACACACACACACACACACACACACACACACACCACACATACATACACAGACACACACAGACCCACACGCACATGCATACACACACAACATACATACACACCCGACACACACGCACACACACCACATACATACACACCCAGACACACACATTACACATACACACACATACATGCACAGACACACACAGACCCACACACACATACATACACACACAACATACATACACGCCCGACACACACACACACACCACACACATACACACACACATACATACACACACACACACAGACACGACACAGTCAACTGTATATGTTCAGTATTAATTTTTCCCTAAACGTTTCCAGTCCTGCTTGGGTGAATCTACAGATGAACAGAGCCTGTGAGGACTCAACAGCCCCTCCTGTCTTTTGCTCCAGAAACTGAACAATCTAAATAAGAGCAGATACAAACTGGCATTGTTGGGTTCTGAGATTAAAGTCATTAGCGTGAGCAAACTGGTGTGAGGGCACTGGTTCAAAGAGGAAAAAGCAGCTTCATAGTACATGTGCACCTTCCTGGCTCCTGCCTGCCACAAGATGGCAGGCCTTAATTCTTTTTCAGATTTTCTTTTTTCCCTATTTCTCTCGCCCTCTCTTTTCATTTTAAGAGAAGTAACCCTTTCTTGACATGTTCCTTATATAAAACCAGTGGAAGCATTAGTCAGAAACCAAATCCCACATCTTTACCTTGTTCCTTGTGTTGCAGCAGCAGCAGCAGCAGCAGCAGCAGAAGCAGCAGCAATCGGCAGCAGCCACAATGCAGAAGCACCAGCCCAGAACACCTCAACCTTCCTAAGCTTTCATAGGTGAAGCCAGGACCAGCATGTACATGTGTGTGCTCATGCAAGAGGAGGGGAGGGGACAACTTCAGAGGTCAGTCTTGTCTACCTTGTTTTACGAAACTGCTCAGCCTCTCTGCTGAGGCTGGTTGGTCACGGTGGCCACTGATCTTTAGAGATCATGTGTCCCCGTCTTCTTAATACAGGTATTATAAGCACACGCTACCCTGTCTGGATTTCACCTTCTGATCTTTAGGGCTTCCTGTCCAGGGGCTGCCAATGTAGCTCAGTTATTAGAACATTTTCTTAACATGAGTGAGGTCCTGAGTTCTATCCCTTGTACTGGAAAACAAACAAACAAATGTGTGGTTTGTATGTATAATCCTATCACTCAGGAGATAGGAGAATGAAGATCAGAGGTTCAAAATCAGCCAAGACTGCAGGAAACCATATATTCATGCTTATTTTCTATGCTGATAGTCTACGTTATTGTTTGTTTGGGGACAGAGTTTTGCCATGTAGCCCAGACTGGTCTTGAACTCCCAATCCACTTGCCTGAGCCTCAACAACCCTGTCTTATGGCACATCTTAAAAGCAAAGCAGTCCCTCGGGATCCTGTTTTCTCCCGCCCCAGCGGCTGCAAGGTTTGGATCCAGGTTAACCTCCCCCCCACAACCCCCGCGTGAGTTCTGCACACCGTCCAGGAGCCAGATGGCCTGCGGCACTTTGAACCAAAGCCACTCTTTAATAATAACCCACAAGTTTAATTTTCATATCTTGAGGGTTGTAAATAATTTAAAAGTTATTTTTGCCTTCAGCCCCACCCCTGCTTCTGTGTGGAAGCACATAACTGGTGCCTCAGGACACAGTCTCTCCATAAGTGATGGCCCTCTTCCTTTTCCCTTGCTGGCAGCAATACTCAGGTGTAATATGGTCTTTGTTCAGAGGTCATTCTCCAGCTCTTTGGCAACCTATGGACCCACCATTGCTCCCTTTTACAACAAGTTTCACTTTTAGGAAACACGGCCCTGCAAATATTTCCTTTGAACATGAAAGGAAATGAAATTTGCTTTGAGAGTTTCATAAGCCCTCTGACACAGGGGCATGCCACAAAAAAAAAAAAAAAAAAAAAAAAAAAAAAAAAAGAGCGGGCCGCTCTGTACATACCGAAGAGAATAAAAGGGAAATTTGGCAAACAGCCCCTACTCTTTTGTGGGGAGGAAAATGTACATAAACCTTATTAATGTGCAGCAGTTTAGTTTTTTATATTTTTTAAGGACAAAATATTGTATACCTTAAGTCAAACAAGAAAACTCATTAAGAAGAGCGTAATCTTCATGGGGCTTTTATATTTTGTCTTAGTCACCAGATCCATAATCCTAATGTTAATGATGCAATATGGAGGGGAGCAGCACAGGGGGCGTGGCCATGGGCTGCTAGTTTTCGCTCTGAGAGCCCTGCATTTGCCTCCCAGAACTCTATTGTCTTCATAGTGTGCAGGCCCAAGATAGCGTCCTTGTCCTTGTGGAAAACAGAATGAGGCATCCGGCACCCTCAAGATGTCTAAGTCCCGATCTCCAGGATGTGTGAATGCCTGAATGTTTGGTGTTATATGGTAAAGAAGGATTAAGTATACAGATGGAATTCAAATCGCTAGGCAGTGGAGTCTGAAATAGCAAGGGTCTCCATCTTCTAGATGTGTCTCAAGCAGTCACAAGGGATGGTTCATAAATCCGGTGGGAAGGAGACCCAACTTCAGAAGAAGTAGATGCAATGTGGGTAGCTTTAGAGATGGAAGGAAGCGTGAAGCAGGGCTGTACTTCATCTCCAAAGGTGAGAAAATAGGCTGGAGAGATGATTTAAACATTAAAGGCAAGGCCCACAAACACCAAAAGTAAAAAATGTCAAAAACAAGCTGACCCCTCAAGTCTTGGGATGTTACACAGCCCCACTGATACCTCAACTGTCACCTAGTAAACCCCATCAGATTCCTACAGAACTCTAAGATAATAAATTTGTATTGCTTAGGCCACCAAGTTGGCGGCAGCTTACCTTCTGAGGTATGAGGTGGATGGACAGCCCCACCATTGTGTTTTTCCTAGAGCCTGCTCCCCCGAGAGCGAGTCTCTGCATTCCTCCACCTCAAGTTACTGTTTCACGTCCCGCTTTCATCCGAGTTTTATCTTTTAATGTATACGTCATGAACACTAGTGATTTTACTGAGTTTCTTCTGGGGTAGTGTGTTGGGGGGTGGGGTGGGGTTGTTTAATTAAAGTGAGAAAAACCTGCATATTCTCTCTCTCTCTTTGCAGAGTGAAGATGTCTCAATACCATTAGTTCTGAAACATTCTTTGGTAGAGAAAACAGTTCCCTCCGTTCACATTGTTATCGCAAAAGAAGATAAACTTGGAAAACGTTTGCCAGCCATGATGCAGGCAGAGGTGTGAGGCAATGTTTGAGATATTCTGAAACTCTAGCGAGCATTAGACACTTCAGAAGGGTTTGTTACAACTCAGACAGAATTCTGGACCCACCCCAGGTATTTTGATCCCATGGGTCTGGGTCAAACCCCAGGAACTTGTATTTCTAAGGAGTTTCTAAGTGACCCAGAGATTCCTGGTCCAGGATCTGGTGTTAGGAACCACCACAGTGGAATATTCGATGGCTCTACACTCCCCAGCCAGCCTGAGTGGAGTTGTCACTACAATTCATGGGGGGCAGAACCTTGAGGACCAAAGTTGAGACTAAAATTGTGAAGATTGTCCTCTTCTTTGCAAACTATGAGGTTGTTATGTATGAGCTTAGGAAGGGAGTGTAACGCAAAGTCAATACAAGTGTTTAAACAAGGCCAAGGGCAGCTTCAAGACACAAGAGAAAAGACAGTTGTATCAACTCCTTAGTGGGGTGTGGTGTCAGGAGCTGTGAGAAGGGACATTTGGGACCAAGTGGATGAGGGTGTTAGAGAAGGAACATCTGGAACTGCTGGACAGAGGAATAGGCACCTCCAGGCGGAAAAGAGACTGTCCGGGGGTCTGAGTAGCCGCCAGGCTCTCCCGGGGGCACACTGTCCCTGGGTGTACGATGACCACACGTCCTGGTGCTCGCAGCTAACTGTCCATTCACTGCCCATAACGTTTTCTGCAGACTGGGAAGTGGTACACAACAGCCTGGGCGTTGAAGAAACCCTTTCAGCAGCCAAATACTATGAACAGAGCAGATGCCCTTCCTGCTAAGTAGACTCTGGGTCTTAAGAGCCACCAAAACCCACCAGTCATACAGCCGCCATCTAGTGGCGCCTGTCGTGTTGTGTTTCTGCAGAGGGCTGTGGAGGAAGACAGATGTGAGCCTTTTCCACCTTGACATTTCTAATTCACACGCCTCTACCCTAGGACACATGAACTGGTTGAGATGGACCCCAGTGGATGCCACCCCAACGTGGCAGCTTATGACAGAAGGCCTAGAGTGAGTATGAACCACCCCTATTGCTTCTGTGAGCCGCTCCTATCGAAGATGCATAATTATTTTTCCCTGAGCTTAATGTGACTGCTACATCAGGGAGAGGCCTTCACTGCACCCCTCCACTGCATCCCTCCACTGCATTCCTCTGCTGCATCCCTCCACTGCGCCCCTCCTACTGTGTCCCTTCACTGTGTCCCTCCACTGCACCCCCACTGTGTCCCTCCACTGCATCCCTCCACTGAGCCCCTCCTACTGTGTCCCTCCACTGCGTCCTTCCACTGCACCCCTCCACTGTGCCCCTCCACTGTGTCCCTACACTGCACCCCTCCACTGTGCCCCTCCACTATGCCCCTCCACTGCATCCCTCCACTGCACCCCTCCACTGTGCCCCTCCACTGCATCCCTCTGCTGCGCCCCTCCATAGCACCCCTCCACTGTGCCCCTCTGCTGCATCCTCCACTGTGCCCCTCCACTGCACCCCTCCACTGCACCCCTCCACTGTGGTCTTTTGTGATCACAGATCTGGTCACGGTGGTCCCTACAGAAAACACTTCAGCAGCTTTCCTAGGCTCTTCAGAAAAAGACAAGAATCTAAAAATAGAATCCTCTCTAGTTCAAAGCTTTCTGGCCCCAATCCCCCAAATTTTTCACATTCATTTTTTTTTTAATAGCTCAACAAGGGCTTGGGGGATAACTCAGAAAACAAAGTGCTTGAGGATTTGAGTTGATCCTCAGAAACCACATAAAAACAGCCAGGGGGGGGGGGGTTGCAGCACTGGGGAAGTTATAGAGAAGTTGACCCTGGAGCTCCATGGCTAGTCAGCCTAGTTTATTTGGTCAGTTCCAGGCCAGTGAGAGATCTTATTGAAAGGACAAGAAAAACCGGTACCTGAGGGATGACCTCTGAGGTAGTCCTGTGACCTTCACAGGCATGCACACATGTTCACATACATGCACATTCACAGGCACCTGAATATATGAAGGCACGTATCTTAAATAGTCAAACAAGCAGCTTATTAGCCATTTAGGGCTTGCTTGATTGCTTGCTTGCCTATCTGTGACATTGCACCTAGAATCCACTGGTCATCGATTTGTAGACTCTGGGCTGCCACTGCCCTTCATACTTCCCTCATCTGGAGGCCCCTCAGAGTGGTGTGGAGTCCCCCTCACTAAGAGCTCTCTCCAGTCCTTCTATCTTGGATGCTACTGTGCCCTCCTCCCCTCTAGATAGCAGTCCACCCTTCCAGAACAAGGTGTGCAGCACTGTGAGGATTTCCCTCTCGCATTCTGCTCCAGCGCGGCCCTTTCAGGATCACCTCTCACGGTCCCATGTTGCCCCGGACCCATGTTGGTCCCATGTTGCCTTCGAACTGTCTACAACTGACCATCAGGCTTAAGCACACTGGTCTCTCTTCTGGGCAGCTCAGGATTTCTTGGCCTTATCCCCAAGGAAACCCCACCCCTCAAGATTAGAGGGAATTACCATATCACTCCTGCTTACAGGTCCTTGCATGACTAATTCCATTGCTTCAGTTGGACAAATTACCAGATACAAATTTCTAGGATTAATTTCCCAGGGACATCCAATGATTATGTCCCTTCCACTAAACTGCAGTCATTGAGTCTCTGGACCTCACATCAACTTTCCTCCCCACCATAACCCCAGCATTTGGCCCACATCTGGCACCAAGTTGACTCTAAGTAAATAAGTACTTATATATGGAAAAAAAACAATGAATGAAATTGCATGATAAAAATTATGTTGATGTAAAATTTTCCAGGTTCTTATGAAAAACATATGGACTTTTCTACTCAGGAAAGCCAACATTTTGCCACACTGGATTCAACCCATAACAGCATATTGGTGCTGGCCTCTGTTTATTTCTCTGTGAACCTCACACGATTCCTGGTGCCTTACTGAACCAGCTTCCTAGCTCCCCTCATGACCTCATGAGCTACTCACATCACATCTGTCTTTCTTCTTTCTTTCTTTCTTTCTTTCTTTCTTTCTTTCTTTCTTTCTTTCTTTCTTTCTTTCTTTCTTTCTTTCTTTTTGAGATGGGCTCTGATTATGCTGCCCAAGGTGGCCCCGAACTCTTTGATGTAATGGTCTTTCTGCTTTCTATCCTGCAGTAGCTTGGAGCCACTGCACCTGGACAAAATCATCTTTTCAACTCACTCACAAATCTGACTCACAAATCTGGCCACTTCAGCCTCAGTCCAGTCAGTCTAAGAGAGGTGAGTGTTTCAAAAGATCATTTTATCAGCCAGGTGGTGGTGGAGCGCACCTTTAATCCCAGCGCTTGGGAGGCAGAGACAGGCGGATCTCTGTAAATTAAAGATCAGCCTGGTCTAGAGAGCTACATCCAGGACAGCTAGGGCTACACAGAGAAACCCTGTTTCGAAAAATCAAAAAAAATTATTTTATCACTGTTTCAAAATGTATCACTTTGCTGTCATTGCTCATATTTGTTAGCGTGTAAATTAAAAGTTCTGTTTAACCAGAACTCACACGCTACATGAAATGGGTTACCCTGGCTAGATGACTGCTACCCTGTGTGAAATCTCACCCTGTCTGATTGATTTGCTGAAAACCAAATGAATGCACGTGAGTGCTGGAGTAAACGTCACACGCATGCGCATGTGTGTGAGAGCTGGAGTGGTGCTCAGCGGTAGAACATTTACTTAGTGTAAGTTCAGTAAAAGGGGTAAGGGTCAGTCAGCTAGGCGCATACTCATGTGGTTTATTAGTGAGCCCATGCAAAGCTGGAAGGACCATCCCCTTAAAAACACCAAGAAAGAAAGAAAGAAGAAAGAAAGGAAGAGAGAGAAAGAAAGAAGATAGAAAAAAGAAAAAAAAACACTGAAGGAAGCAAGGGAAAGAGGCGTTTGTGCAGCTGGCTATTGATCCCTTTAATAAGCATTTCCTGAGCTTCCTATCTGCCTTAAGCAGACTGGTCCCTCCACCTCATGGAACTTTCCCTGCACAGAGCATGACCTTTCAGGAAGTGGCCAAAAGTCATCAAAAGCAACAAAGGCAGCAACCATGAGACTCAGTACCAAAGGAATGCCCGCAGTCCCGGCCCTGCGATGAGGTGTACTCCAAGCAGCCGGCTCGCTCTTCCAGCGGTGGGCAGGGTGCTCCTCCGTTCAGCGGCTCCTGCTGCACTGAACGCCTGCGCACACGCGTGGTGGGCTGGCACTGACCCGCACAGCCACTCCAGGGACTCCATTCTCCCACAAAGCACGGGCGAGCTGGAAGACAGAACGAGAGCGTGCTCACCTGAGTAAACCCAGCCTGCCAGGTTGTTTCTGCCCGTGCAAACACAGCGTCTATCTAACTTGTGTAAACTTCATAAACTCAGTCATCGCCTGCATCTGGAAGGCCCAGAGACATGGGCTCCACCCACCCTGATGGGTCACTGATGATTAGGTATTTCTGAGGAGGTCCGGGAACCCGACAGTTGGCCAGGGACACATTCCAGGTAAATTGCTACAGGATACTTCCTCATGTTCCTGAGCTTACAAAACTTGCTCTTTTCTTTTCTTTTCCTTCTTTTTCTCTTCTCTTCTTCCTTCCTTTCTTTTTTCTTTCTCTTCCTTCCTTCCTTTCTTCCTTCCTTCCTTTTTCTTAATAGTAACCTTTATCACTGCCCCTGATTATAGCATGATTTTCTTTTCAGATTATATTTTCACCCTTACCCATTTATGGAAATTGGTGTGCTATTTCAATACATGTATACAATGTGTAATGATCAGATTAGTCATTGGTAAATCAGTTTTCTCCTAACTGCACCACAATCCCTCAGCCATCCTTTCTCCACCCCCTTCCTCCCTCCTTTCCCAGAACATTAGTAACAGTAATATACATTCACTGTAAAAAGAAAAAATGGGAAAAATAATTATAGAAGCAAAATGTACCTGACTCAGTCATAATCCCAGTACTTACTGATCAATTCTTTTAGGAAAGGTAATGATAACGATGGTGTGACTCAAAGGTGATATAAACAAAACAGACACAGAAATCCGTGGAACAGAGCAGAGAGCCCTGCTGTGAGTCCGCACAACAACAGCCACCTGATATTTTACAAAGAAGGCAGAAGTACACATTGGATGGAAGACAACTGCTAAGTCCTTTCCCCTGAAATGGCAGTGCTGGTGACACCGTCCTAAACAGTGTTTCTGGCTGCATACACAGAAGGGTTGTGATTGGGTAAACAGGCCACCCATAACCAGAAACCACCCGTAACCTTCTCCCAACTCTATCTGGCAAGGGCACCGAGAACGGATCAGCTGAGACAGCCTGTGTCAGCGCCCATCCCCACCCGCTGGCTGTCATATAAAATCGGCTCGCATTGCTATCGTTCTGCTCTTTAAATGATTCTGGGGAAAGTGGACGTCTGTGTAGAGAAGAATGAAACCGGATTCCTATCTCTCATCTCGAATAAAAATCAATTCCAAGAGAACCAAAGATCTCAGGGTTGTCTCTGAAACTCTGAAACTGCTGCAAGATAAAGAAGTGGAAGGGCCCAAAATTGAGGGCACACAAGGACTTTCCGAGTGGGACCTCAGGAAATAAGGCCAAAACTGACAAAGTGAGATCCCATGGATTTTAAGGGCTTTTGTACAGCAAAAGAAACCTGTTAATGCAGTGAAGAGGCGGCCTACAAGACAGGAGATGATCTTTGTCAGTTACACATCTGACAGAATCAGAGCTTAGAAAACGAACCATCAGCACAGCAAATAAAAGCACTAAGAGATGGTCTATGCACTGTCCGCATCGCTGGGAGCCAGCAGAGACGAAACAGGAGCTTGTCTTATGCATTACCCAGTTTTCCTCTGCCTTTCTATGTCCCGCCCCCCCTGTTTATCTTTGCACACACAACTCCGCCCCCCCATTAAACAAATGCTGTGGATCTTGGGCTAATTAAATACATAAAATGGTTTATAAAACTGGAGTTCTCAAAAGAAGCAGAAATGACTAATAAATACTTTCTAGAGTGTTCGACGTTCCCATCAGGGAAATGCAGATTGAAAATACTTTGAGATTCCGTCATACTCCAGGAAGAATGGATATTATTGAGGAAACAAACGGCCAATGCAGGCAGGACTATGGGGGAGGGGCAGCCCCAGTCACTCCTGTCACTAGTGTGTAAGCTGGCAGAACCACTATGGAAATCAGTGTGGCGGTTCCTTCAGAAACTTAAAAATAAAACGGTCGTTTTATCCAGCTTCACCGCTCCTGGACTGCCTCCAGCTCCTCAGTGAGGGCACACCTTTTCCCTGGTTCTCTTTTCTGTTTTGTTTTGTTGAAGTGGGGTCTCTCTACATAGCCCTGGCTGTCCTGGAACTTATTCTGCAAACAGAGCTGCCCCGCAAACTCACAGAGATCCGGCTGCCTCTGCCTCCCAAGTGCTGTGGTTAAAGGCGAGCGCCACCACCCCACCGGCCCCCACCTGAGCCTCTGAAATCCTGGTCTTAAAGATGTGTCCCTGAGATGGATGCCAAAACTTTCTTTTCTACAAAGTAAACCCCCTTTCCCTATTGTCCTGTTACTTAAGTCCAGAGTGCTTTTAATCCCCCTGACTTTTGAAAACTTCTGATGGTTCATACCTGAAAACTTCTTTGTTTCCCAGGGTGTTCTAGTTGAGAAGTCATGGTTTGGGGAGGACATATTGAATGACATACACCTTATCCTTAGTATGAAAAGTGTACATACAATCCAAAGTTCAAAAAACTTTATACTATTTTAAAGCATACTTCATTTACTATGTAAAAACCTATTGGTACCACATGTCAGCCGCCTTCTGGCATAAGATGAGCCATGTTGGTCTGAACTGATTGGGAAGGACGTCTCTACCCTTCCTTCTTTCTTTACGTCATTTCCTCCCTGGACTTCCTTCCCTGTGCCTACTTGGTCCTTCCATGTGTTGAACTTGAACAGTACTTAATATTAGGATTTTAAAATGAATTTATTTCCAATTTTAAATTTTGGACAATACGATAGCATAAACGTTGGCCATGTCTTTAGCTTAGAATTTAGTAATGTGGCCTTGAGTTTGACTTGGCTGTATATAACAGATGACACGGAGGAGTATTTTCTCATAGAATTTAGCCTCTTGGGAATTCTTTAAAACTATGTCTCATGCCCAGCATTTCTTTGGTTGATCTGGTACCATGACTGTAGTCTTCAAGAGTCACAGAATCATTGTGTTAATTGTTGTTCTTATTGCCTAAGATTTGTCCTTGACAAAAAAAGAAAAATGTCATTTGCTATTTTTCCAATCTGACTTTCAAATCCCAAAAGAGCTGGGTATCAGGGTATACCTGTAGTCCCAGATACTCAAGTACTGAGCTAGGAGACTAACTGAAGCCCAGGAATTCACCAATAGCCTGGGAAGATTTTATTGTAATCATCTCAAAATAAATGAATAGATAAATAAAAGTTTCATAAAGACAAACAGAAGTTCTAGGTTCCAAGACCATGTCTCCATGGCTTTATTCTAAGACAAAATGGAAGAGGTGTTGAAATACAATTATAGGAATGAAAACGTGCTCCATAGATTTTGTGCTAGAGGATTAGTCTGGGATATTTATTTCTCTTCCACTGTGATTTTCTTGTGAACTTTTGATTGAGTTGGAACCACAAGAGATCACCGGTCCCAGGAGTTAGGAGTACAGGAACTTCTGACAGATTTATTACATCCATATTTTAGAGCTGTGTGACATGTGTTTCCTTCTGAATATTTTATTAGCAGCCCCGCCCCTTTCCCACTAAACTTATCTTTACAGACAACATACTCAAATATTTTTCTTCAGATTTAATCTTCTCATTCTTCATATCTGCTCTTACCAGCTGCTACTGGGGTCTGTCGCTTGTTACCTCATAAGCTGGTGCATGATGGCCCTGGACTCCATGCTGGTCAACTGCTTAGCAGTTAGGGTTTGATGACATCATCCCACTCCCTTTTGAGGAAGGAAGCCTAGATTTAATGGGAACAGGAAATTCGGTGACGTCTCTCTCTTCTTTGTTTAAACTCAACCCAATATTCAGGTTGGGTTTCTGCGGAAACAGCCTATGGGATGTGGACTTACATGCAAGGCCTTGATTTGGAAAGTGATTTCACTAAACCTCATAAGGGAGCAGAGGAGAACAGACACAGAATACACAGTTGTCTTCCTACTGTTGGCCTAGTACACCCCACTGGAGAAAGAGGGTAATGAATCATCCAAAAAGTTAGGAATGATGGAGTTCTGCTTATTGGTTAATTGGCCCCAGATAGCCCTATCTCCAGGCGCAGAATGACCAAGAAAAGAAAAGTAGTTACACTGTACACATTTTTATATGTTCTGATAGAGAAAGCAGTGATAGCCAAGTACAAGAACCTTAAAAATTGTGTCACTGTTTGTTTTTGTTGTTGTTGTTGTTATTGTTGTTTTGAGACAGCCTCACCATTCAGTCCCAACTGGTCTTGAATTTGCTGTGTAGACCGTGCTGTTCTTGAACTCTCAGAGATTTGTCCAAGTGCTGAGATTAAAGGTATGGGCTGCCACACCTGGTTTCTCTTTTGTTTTGTTTGTTTGTTTGTTTGTTTGGAGGATTTTTGTTTCTTTGTTTTGTTGTTGTTGTTGTTTGGTTTTAGTTATGATAGAATGATACAGCCAAAAACAAGGTAAGGAAGAGAACGTTTATTTGACTTATGGTTTCAGAGATCACGAGTCCACCATGGCAAGAAGGTTCTGGCGCAGGAGCTGAAAAGCTGAAAGAGCGTATCTTAACTGCACACAGTAAACAAAGAGAAGAAGCCAGAAGTTAGGTGGAGCTATAAACCTTCAATGCCTGTCCCCAGTGACACAGGCTCTCCAGCAAGGCTCCACATCCTAAAGCTTCCTAGCCTCCTCCAATGTCACCAGGGTGACCAAGGGTTCAAATATACAAGCCTATGAGGAACATTTCTACCCAGGCTACCCTCATTTCATATGAGACAGAATCCAAACTCCCCAACACACGCACACATGCGCACACACGCGCACACACACACGCACACACACATACACACATACACCCCACCTTGGCACCAAACTTCTGCTATACTGCCTCTTTCATCCCTGAACACAGTGAGGACACGCAGACTCTAGGGCCCCTACCCACATTTTCTCTTTATTTTCAATTTCTTCCTGTACTGAGTAGAGTTGAGCTCTGCTCATCCCATAGTCTCAGTCAAACGGGTTCATCTTTAGAGTCCTTTCTCTCC